AAAAAAAAAAATCCAGTTTGAGTATTTAGTAGGTCAAATTTGCAGTATCACCATTCCAGGCCACGAGGGAATTAGGCTGAAGTATTAGGTGCAGCCATTAAATTTCACTTCCATTCTCACTTTTGTTCAAATGATACCTGGAAGTCTTCACACCAAATTCCTCGGGAAGACTGTTCCAAATGCCTAAAAAGCATTCTTTCACTCTTGATGTTGAGTGTTTTATAAAAAAGGGGAAAAGTTGCATTTACTCAAAAGGATGGTACCCCAAATGTTGTCATGCTTATTCTTGCAGTCCATATGAAATTTTGATCTTTATGCAGGAAGCTAAACTCAAACTAAACTAAAGTAAATTTTACTCAGCCTTATAGCCTTATTAATGTGAGCCATTCTCACTTGAATAAATTGGCTTCTGTGACATTCATCTCCCATTTGCACATCTGTAGGCTCTTCCATCTGTCAAACAATTCAGTTTGTTTCACCCTAAAAGATAAAAAAGAAAGAAAAAAAGATCAGTTTATTACAAGAGCTTCATTTCCTAAAACAGCTGCAGATAGASCATCATGCAAATTGATGGGGCAAATCAGCCAGTCTAGACAGTACAAAACTTATCATTTTTATTCCTTTTTCTGCTCAGACATACCCACTTCAAGCCCTGTGTACACAAGAATTGATGTTTGGGGCTGATTTCTTCTCTCTGATAGGCTTTCTCCGCTTTTCCAGGATAAAAAAATGCAATATTGAGCAAGAAGCATCTACTCTACCAAAATCTACTGGGAAGCAAATAAGCCTCTGTCAGCTGGGTTTGGGGGGAAAGGTGCAGCCAGCAGAAGGGCCCAGGATGGGGTATTGGAAAAGGGATACATTTGGCCAAATATGGCTGTATTTTGATGAGGTTAACTTAATCTGTGAAATCACACAGCACAGCGCTGCAGGTAAATTTATTTCATGAACAATTCATGAGCTCACGTGTAGGGATGAGAGCCTGTGATGGTTAAGAGGAAATAAAAATCTCTTTACATAAGGATCTCTCCCTCCACCTTGTCTAATCAATATACCTGTAGCTACATCCAAAAAAAATGACACTCCTGTTTTTACTGGGCTGATACAGGATGACTCATTTTTTGATGATATCACCAGTTCCAAGAACTTCCAATTGATGTTCKCACATACTCTTGTGCATTTGGACAACAGAGATAACGAAGGCTTTGCAAATATCTAGAGATAGGAAGCAACTGCATAATCTGGCTAKGAAATTTGGAYGTCTGTGATTTCTGCTAGATTGATWGGTCTTAATGAGTTCTCTTTAGGCTTGAGGGYTTTTAATGTTTGAATAAGGCAAAGACTTTTAGGATAATTATATATTTAAAGTGAGTAGAACTTAGCATTTCCCAGGCTGTGGCWGTTACAAGGAAGGAATTAGGTCATATTGTACTTTCTGTAGCCCACCAGAGCACATTAACTTGGAAATCTTCCATTACCACAAGGGCTGGCTTTGGAAACACAGCACATTTGAATCAAGAGCRTCAGAAGATACCAGCAGAGTACAAGACATTAATGTCAAAAGGCATCTATTGTAGAATTAAGGGTAACTCGTGTCTAGCTGAGCAGGAGTCCACTACCATCCTTGAGCCACTGGATAAGACGAAGAAAAACAAGCAATTCTCTGTGTTCCCTGATAAGTATAAAAAAAAAAAAAAAGAAAAAAAAGAAATTCAAAACTCCCCATCTTCAGCAGAACATTGGCACAAGTGTGACATTCTCACCCCTCCTCTTTATTTTTAAGCTCTGCGAGTCAGCAAGCAGTGCAAAGTGTGTTACTTGTGTATCCTTCATCCAGTACAGAAGGCAAGGACATAACCTACATTTTTCTGTGCACAAAGTCAGTCAGGCAGACATGCTCAGGTTCATGCAGACCTGGAGCAACAAATTGTGTTTTCTGTAGCCCTGGGTGTTTAATGCCATGCACCTGTAGAGTTGCACTCTGGACTGACCTCCCCAGGGTACTCTGCAGACCTTGTGCATTGCCTGAAACATTATTAAACCACTGGCWTTGGATGTGGTGAGGGATGAGGCATAATTTAAGCACCTAAATTCTGTGAAATGCTGAAAATGCAAAAAGACAACACTAAAATACAGACAGGCTGTGCTCTGTCCCATTGGCAAACTCAATTCTTCACCAGTTCTTTTATTGTGGCATCACACATACATATGAATATACACATGTATTCATTCATTTCCTGACACAGGACCACAAAACACAGTTTAGAGATGTTTTACTGTTTTCCAGAATCACATTTTCTTGCTTTTTTACCAAGAGGTTTTGAGTTGTGAAACTCACTGATGTTTGAGGAGGTCAAAAATAAAAATGTGTTCAGGAAATACCTAAATAAATTGAGAGGTCTACTGTCCACTCTGATTACTCCAGCCTGGACTCCTTCTACCACTCCACAAGTCTTCATGCCAGCACTTATTATCAGAAAGAGCTGAGATTTTGGCTTCCTTGTTTAGCCTTCCCTACTGGCCACTGTCAATAAAAGAGCCTTAAGCCAGATGGACAACTTGCATGAGTCAGTCTGGCTGTCCTTACTCTTCAATTATTGGAAACATGATATTTCAAACACTGTATTTAACTCCCAACAATAATCCCAATTCCCAATAATCTGGACCTGACCAAAATGCCTCAGTTTATGGGAAAAGCTTCCATGTTTTTCAAATGGAACTCAGATAAAATTCAAACACTGCCTGCACAGGTAAGAGAAGCTCAGGGATCCCTGTTGATATGGTCTCTTGAGCTTCGCACCTTTTGATAACAACATAGTAATTCATCATTCCATCCTGTCTCAAAAGTAAAAYTTTTAGCAATATTTTTATTGCTAAATACTTTTACTTTTTACTACAGTTCATACTTACATGGACAAGACYTTCACCTCAATGATGTCCTGCCGCAATTCCAGGCATTTGGTAGAATTGTATTCCAAAGGCCCTTCATAAAACTCAAAATACCTGAGGAAGGATGAGAAAAGATATCATAAATAAGGTTTAGACTCGAATAATTGTCTCACACATCAGCAGAAGCTTGCTGAAATTTGTCATTTATGACTTTTGCTTTACTTGAGGCTGCCCTGCCTGAACCATGGGCAGCTTATTCCTTCACAGCAAAGCACAGATGTCCCTGCTGACCCTAGAACAGTCACCCATGTCCAGTTTCTGTCCATTCCTGCAAGAGTTCATCTATCTTGAAGCATCAGCAAGCACCAGCTACCTTTTCCAGCAGTCAGCACTTGGCAGCTGGAACTGAAAGTCAGGGTAAAAGCACTGATCATTTTAGGATCCCTTCCCAWCTTTTGGGTGCATGACTGTGATGAACTGGGAAAAACAGCACCATAAAAGTGTTCGAACCTTGTATTCTGACTGTGGAGGCCATTCCATAGTTCCTGAGCAACTGAGCTTTCCATTGGGGTTTACTCTTTTGATATATTTGGAAGGGAAGGGAAGCGGGGATTATTTTTGGAAAAAAAATTTGACAACAAAAGGATTTGACTGCTCAGACACAGCACAAATAACAGCYATTCYTGATGAAAATATAGATAAAAATATTTACTTTTTTTKGKTTKTTTTTTTTTTCACTTTAGTCACTGGACTGAAGGAGAAACAAAAGACAATGGTAGCTACTCATGCTTAAGGAAAAGAGAAAGCCCAGGCTTTCAAGTCACTTTCACTCCAAATCATTAGAAGTCTGTATAAAAACCTAACTCCTAAGATCTGCACATACTCATAAAGCACTTGAGAGAACAATGAAGAAATTAGAGATGACCCAGAGGAACAGGTGTTATAAACAAGRCTAGAGCAAGTAGTTTTGATGGATCCTTGGAAACTACTGGAATTTATGAGTCTATAACTCCAAACTATCTTTTGAATCCTCAGCAGAAAATATGAAGGTAAGATTTGCGGAAAAGCTTCATTTAAGCCATCACTGGAAATGTAATATTTTAGGTTTGTGTCATTGTAAAATAATACCAAAGCTCATGTTTGACTTGTGACTGGAAAAAGTCCAAGAGCCTCCCAAAGCAATTTATTTTCAGCTGGGAATGTTTCTAGCCTGTTAAATGCTGCTTTAGAAAGTGTCTCCTTCACCTCTCCCTRAGGTTTTCACCACCTCAGCTTTGCCAAATCCCAAATCAACTATTTCTGTGATCCAGTGAGAGGCACAAACCTTGGGACTGAAAGGAGGAAGCCCTAAAAGGTGGCAGGAGGAGAATGAAAAAAATCCTAATAATGAAGTCAGAAAAACCCAATAGCTCACCTTTTAAAAATGTGGCTAAGGCAGCAATAAAAAAAAAATTAAGAGTTTTGTAGAGAAAATTATGTATTTAAAGTATTCCTTAATCAGTAAGAACTATGTGTAAATACTCCCTCAGCCTCCTGAAGGGAAATCAAACATGAATCTTCATCTAGGCTCTCACCAAGAGGCTTGGACTTCCCTTCCAACTGAATTGTTCACCTGGACATTCAGCAATCCTTAAGGAACAGCTGAGATCCACTGGCCTGGGACATCTTCCATGGGCTTGACTTGTTGAGCTGGAGCTTGGGACATCTTCCATGTGCTTGACTTGTTGAGCTGGAGCTGAGCAGCTTGTGAAAGAAATCCAGATCCACTGGAGCCCACTTGCTTGAACTGTGTGCATGTATTCCAGGTAACTATCCCAGACTAAACCAAAATTACTCTTCATACCAAAACACAGAATTTCTTACTGATCACAGAATTTTCCAGGGCTGAAGGGGTCCCTTCTGGKGGCCAGTACAGACAATGTTTTCATCCTCCTGAAATAATCATTTTTCTGACTGTCTTTTGGGGTATCAATCCTTTTCTTTGGTTCTTTGAGTCAGACAGCACTGGTACCCTGGATGTGCAWGTTCTGCACAATAGCTAGGGGCAGRTGCACACCCCCACACCAAAATCAGCACATCACACACCACCCCTGCTTCTTAGGGTGTGCAGGAGATAGCAGTGCTTAACAGCCTCATCCTCACCTGCCACCTAACACTCGATTTCAGTACCTCGAATGCGCCTCAGGACAGATAAGCAGAGCAAAAATCTAGATTAACATTTATTTTTATCTTTCCTATGCACTTCTGGCTGTGCTGCTGAGTTAGAGAGCAGCAGCTCAGATGTCAAACAGCACAYGCTGTCACGTGGGAGCACCACAGCAGGGGAAAGCTGGCTTCAGCCTGTGGCACTGGAGTCAAAGACGTCATTTCATGAAATGGAGATGAAATTTCCTGTGTCCCGGCCATTCCCTTTGATCGTTGCCTGTTTACTCCATCCACAAACCAAAAATAGAAATGAAAAAGGATGTGTTACCGAAGCRGCAGAAGGTTAAGGAGGAAAAGGACTGGGTCAAAAATAAACCGCTTCTGGATGCGAAAGGAAATCAATCCATGAGGCAATACTGTGTTTGTAGGAGAGRTATTCCATGAGCCYACCACCTCAGAAAGCACAGGACTGYTCTGCAACTCTCACAACAGCTTCAGCTTTCCCAGCAGCAGCACTGGGAGCATTGAATTCACTGTTTATCACCTCGTGGAAGTGCAGAGGGAGGAGGCACAGGACAGGCTGGATGACACATCCCTGAGGGACACSTTCCTCCTGCATCAAAGGCAGGGGACACCACCAGCTGTGTCAATCTGCATGGGGAGGGAAGAAGATGCAGCTGGGCATGGGGTCAGTTTGACTGAAACCAGCTCAGTGATCCCAAGCTATTGAATAAACATCATTTGGGCTGTCCCTCATCAGTCCTGAAGCTCCTTGGAGCAGACAGCCACTAAAGCCTTCTTAGTCGTAAGCTACCACACGTAGYTTGCAAACAATAATGATGCTGCAACAGCATTAAGGATTTTTCAAGCCAGTGTCTGGTCAACAAGCTGGGGAAGAAAAGGGTTCCTCTCTTTTTGCCAGGAACGTTCATGCTATTTATTTATTTCACAGCAATTCCTCCTGCAGCCAACACCACAGGAAATCAGCCAAGGCAGGTCCCTGGTGAACCAGACAGCCCCTTCCCACAGATGAGCTTCACGTTGTGCTTTCCTAGAAACCAGATATTGCAAAAAACCAGGCCCTGGCACAAGGAGCATGGGTTCCCTCAACCTCCTGAGATGTCCTTTAAGTCCACCATCTCCCCTTGCAAGGGTCTGGTCCTGCAGGGAGTGTTTGGAGATCAGGCCCCCGCACTTTCCCAGAGGAAGCATCAGTCTCACCCACTCGCTGGTCTCTGAGAGCTCCTTCTGCCTATTAACTCCCACTCCAAAACATGTAGTTCCCTGTGAACGAAGATACATTTGCCTGTCAGAAAGCTTAATTAGCACAAATGGAAACTGTCCTCCCCATCATCCTCCTCAGTCTGATCTCCAGCTAAGAAACAAGGGTGTAGTTCAGTTTATTTTGATTTGTGTTCTTGATTAGTGACAACTGACAAACCTGACTGTACTACTAACTCCTTTTGCTACAGCTTGTGTTGTGGCTTTACAAGAATGATAGTCAGGTTTTATTATCCATAAAACAGAGTTGATCTGTAAGCCCCATAACGTCCTCTCCCTGCATTTTTCCACTTTCCCTGATGAAACATAAATAACTTTTATCCCTCACAGGTCACAAGTCTACAGGAAAACTGATACAAGAATTCATGAGTCTTTACCTTAGAGAACACAACTGCAAATGAATCACAAGAAAAACAGCTCAGTTGCACGTAGGATTGTGCCTTCCCCGGGCACTTGGCACTACACACCGCTCACTGCTCTGTGTCTGCTCACGTCAGTCATTGCTTTCAAACCTACAACGCTTTTCCAGGATCAAATCCTRCACCTGAACACCACACAAGCTGCAAGCACTCAGAGGGGACTGGATTTTTACAGCTCACTGCACTGAGTGCCCAGAAATTAGATGCTATTCAGTCTGTAATTTTCCATTTTTGACTAACTGAAACTTTTCYTTTCTAACCTTGACGTCCCCCATTGCAACCTCCCCTCCAGCTGAGCTGCCTACTGATCTCGCTAGTGAGAGACACATTTGGTTTCTCAGTACATCAGCTAACACTTGTGTCTTTGATCATCTGCAGCTTGGCTCCTCCTGCTTTGATCAGAAGTAAGCTTTTCTTGATCACACTACACGAATTAAAAAGCCCGAGACTTCAAACCTGCCTTCAAGTGGCGCTCGGGTTGAGGCACTGATTTGTGTGATATATTGAACAAAGGTCTGAAGGTATGATTTAGTGTAATGGCCAGGCATCTTTTAAACAGGACCATTTTCTCAAGCTGCCTTCCCATCCTTTCTGCTCGTTTCTGCAGTGCCAGTTCTCAGCACTGTTTGCAGCGAGACCGCAGAGCATTGCAGGAAGGATTCCACCTACCCTGCAGGAAAAACAAAGATCTTTCCAAAAATATACATTATCCAGTGACTAAGAAATGAGAATAAATGAACCAAGCCCTGCAGGCTTCTACTAAATACTTATTAAGAGTGCTGTCCAATTAGCAGTGCCTGCACTCATCAGTGTGGGCAGATYCATGGCCAGCCTTGGGTCGAGATTCACCTTCCTTACTCAGAAACATTCCAGAATGTGCCAGAGCACATTCCCCAAAAGCACAGGGGGCTCACATCATCTGGCAAGGCCAGCATGGGAATCTTCAGGCCCCYGTAGCWAAAAYASAGCTGAGGTGGAGTCATCATGCCTRCAGAGGCCCTGGAAAACTCAYCCAGGCTAGAACTCAGTAGGTGTAGATTTCATCAGAGCCCACTGTGAGAGACCAGATCCATCTGGCCTTTGCCTCTGTAATACTTCTATGTGACAACATCAAAAACTACAAGATTGGGCCAAAAGATTTAAGGCTTGACATCAAGACAAGGGTTTTTCTCCCTCGAAGAGAGTATCTTGCCACTCACATGGCCTGTTCTCCTATGATTACTGTTTCCTATTGGGAAGGGATGATCCATGATTGCAGGTAAAGAAGAC